ATACAGTTTGAAAATTACCATAGATGCAGAGTGTTTATTACATCAGGTACTGTTTCTTTGGTAGGTAGATGTACTAGTATGGGGTACCATATACATACAATGTCATTCTGACCACCTCTAGATAGATTTTGTTCCAGAGTATCTGAGATTTTCTCCATTATATAAAGGTTCCATAGCTTTTTGTACCAGAGGTTTACATTTAGCTTTACTCGTGGATTTCCATGTGGCTGCTAATGTGGTTTTGGCTGCAAACAGTAATAGAGAGATTCTTTTCCTTTGTGTATTAGAGAGAGCATTTTCCTCTCTGAGATTTAAAAGCAGAGCTTCCGGGGATTTGTCTATCTTGATTTTGGTTATGATCATTATTTTCTTCTATTATTTTATCCAAGAAGGATGCTACCTCCCGGCAATCGTACCAGCAGTGTATGTAACTGCCTATTTCCTTACACCCCCTCCAGCAAAGTGGGCTTGAATTATTTGCAATGTATGATATTTGTTGTACCTCTTGGCTGGCTTCACCTTTCTTTCTATTAGATGCAGGACTCCTCTGGCAACCACAACCTTCTCCCACCACAGGCGCTTTCATTCTGTACGCGTTCTGTACGCCCTCCCCATCAAGATTGAGTGTCTAGGCCTTTTATTTACTAATTTATTACATTTATATCCCGCCGTCCCCGCAAGCAGGCTCAGGGCGGCTAACAATATTTGGCACCGTGCACCAAATCCATATAAAACAACTAAAACCAGTTAAACGGGTTTAACGATTTAAAGTGAAAGTGCTCACAGGACTAAATCGCAGCAGTGTGCCGTATAATACCGCACCCAAGATTCTCAGCTTAACAATCTCTGGACTCCACAGGATGGTATAACACAATGTCGGTTAGGCTGGCCCTTCCACCAGGTAAAGGTTTCCCTTGCTCGAAAGCCAGTTGAATCCGACTCTAGGGTTGTGGCGCTCATCTCCGTTTCAAAGCTGAAGAGCCAGCGCTGTCCGAAGACGTTTCCGTGGTCATGTGGCCGGCATGACTAAACACCAAGGTGCACGGAACGCTGTTACCTTCCCACCGAAGTGGTACCTATTTATCTACTTGCAATTTCTTGCTTTCGAACTGCTAGGTTGGCAGGAGCTGGAACTAGAGATGGGAGTTCACTCCGTCATGCGGCACCCGGGTCTTGAACTGCTAAACTACTGACCTTCCACAGCCTGCAGTTCAGCATCTTAACCACTTGAGCCACCGCAGCTCCTATTAGTGGAGTACATTGATGGTAACAGTGGCAGCTCCTAATGGAAAGCCTGGTGGAAGAGATCCGTCTTACAGGTCCTGCGGAATTGTGCAAGTTCCCGCGGGGCCCTGATGTCCTCCGGGAGCTCGTTCCACCAGTAAGGAGCCACCACCGAAAAGGCCCGAGCCCTGGTCGCAACAAGCCTGGCATCCCTGGGGCCTGGAATAACTAGTCGGTGTTGTGACCCCAACCGTAGTGCTCTGTGGGGTACGCATGGGGCAAGGCAGTCTCTCAGGGACTTTATAAAATTCATATAAATTTTTACTTTATAAAAATTCTCCATCGCAGATATAACCCCACTGTTCTCCCATCACAGCCCTCCCTTTGTTCTACAAAAAGCTCATCTCCTGCTGCCTCACTACTTCTCTTACTCTAATTTTTGCACCTTCTGAGATGAAACTCTCCAGCCCTAAAAAGCCACCTTCCTGTCTTCTGCAGAATCCCACACAAGCATTCAGTAACAATACTCAAACTTTCACTTCCAATGCAACTGTCTTGAAGCAGCTGTTGTGGTGGTGCATGGGTGGAGGGCTCTTTTTGTAGCAGGAACTCCCTTTGCATATGAGGCCGCACACCCCTAATGTAGCCAATCCTCCAAGAGCTTACAGAGCTCTTCTTACAGGGGCGACTGTAAGCTCTTGGAAGATTGGCTACATTAGGGGTGTGTCGCCCAATATGCAAAGGAGTTCCTGCTACAAAAAGAGCCTGGCGTTCTTGCAAATCTGAGGGTCCAAGGCCATAAAGGGCTTTAAATTGAGCCCAGTCACTGATGGGCAGGCAGTGTGGTGGCTTTAGAATGGGAAGAATACGCACGCTCCATCTAACAAAAAGAAGAAGAAGAAGAAGAAGAAGAAGAAGAAGAAGAAGAAGAAGAAGAAGAAGAAGAAGAAGAAGAAGAAGAAGAAGAAGAAGAAGAAGAAGAAGAAGATTGATTTATACCCCGCCCTTCACTACCCAAAAGTGTCTCAGAGCGGCTTACAAACTCCTTTCCCTTCCCCTCATCACAGCAGACACCCTGTGAGGCAGGTGAGGCTGAGAGAGCTCTGACAGAAACTGCTCTTCTTCAAAGGACAGCTCTTATCAGAACTACGGCTTGCCCAAGGTCATCCAGCAGGTGCAAGTGGAGGAGTGGGGAATCAAACCCGGTTCTCCCAGATTAGAGTCTTAACCTTAACCACTACACGAAACTGCGCTTCGGCGATCTTTACTGACTGGAGTTTCCGAACTGATTTTGAGGAAAGACCAATGTACAGTGCAACGAAGTTTTGAGTCCAACAAAGGTTTTAGCATGCACATGAAAACTCATACCCAGAATATAACTTTGTAGGTCTTTAAAGGTGCCACTGGACTCAAACGTTGTTTTGCTGCTTCAGACTAACATGGAAAGGAGAGAAGGAATCTTGAAAAGAGGCAATGCTATGGGGTCTTTCAGGAAAGGGAAATATGAAATATTGGGGGAAGGGGAAATGAGATGTATGTGACAAGTCCTTATGAGTTCCCACCAGTAAATAAATAAATACAAAAGTTCTGAGATTTCCGGACCTGTCAAACCTATCTCTTTGAAAAAGGCCCCCTTCCAAAGATTGAAACCCTACAACTATAACATAAGAACATAAGAGATGCCAGTTTTGGATCAGGCCAATGGCCCATCCAGTCCAACACTCTGTCACACAGTGGCCAAAAATACGAGGCGCCATCAGGAGGTCCACCAGTGGGGCCAGGACACAAGAAGCCCTTCCACTGTTGTCCCCCCCTCCCCGCCAAAGCACCAAGAAGACAGAGCAATAAAAAAGGTCAATCCTATGCTGGGGATTATTAGGAAGGGTATTGAAAACAGATCAGCCAATATCATAATGCCCCTATATAAATCAATGGTGTGACCTCATCTGGAATACTGTGTGCAGTTCTGGTCACCACACCTTAAAAAGGATATTATAGCTTTGGAAAAAGTGCAGAAAAGGGCAACTCGAATGATAAAAGGGTTGGAACACTTTCCCTATGAGGAAAGGTTAAAGCGCTTAGGGCTCTTTAGCTTGCAGAAACGACGACTGAGGGGTGACATGATTGAGATTTATAAGATTATGCATGGGATAGAGCAGGTAGGGAAAAAGGAAGTCCTTCTTCACCCAAAGAGTGATTAATACATGGAATTCACTGCCACAGGAAGTGGTGGCGGCTACAAGCATGGACGTCTGCAAAAGGCAATTAGATAAGCATCTGGAGCAGAGGTCCATCAGTGGCTATTAGCCACAAGGTATAGATAGGGGCTCTAGGCCAAGTGATGCTCTGTCTTCTTGGTGGTTGGGGGGGGTCAACAGTGGGAGGGCTTCTAATGTCCTGGTCTCACTGGTGGACCTCCTGACGGCACCTGGTATTTCTGGCCACTGTGTGACACAGAGTGTTGGACTGGATGGGCCTTTGGCCTGATCCAACATTGGCGTCTCTTATGTTCTTACGTTCTTAGCATCACTTGCCCCAGAGTCCCTATCTATACCTTGTGGCTGATAGCCACTGATGGACCTCTGCTCCAGATGTTTAATTCCCTCTTGAAGCCGTCCATGTTTGTAGCTGCCGCCAGGCATAATCTTATCTTGTCAGAATAGGGCTTGCCCAAGGTTATCCAACCAGGTGGAAGTGGAGGAGTGGGGCATCAAACCTGGTTCTCCCAGAAGAGAAGAAGATAACACCCTGTGAGGCAGGTGGGGCTGAGAGAGCTCTTGACAGAAACTGCTCTTTTCCAAGAACAGCTCTTGTCAGAACTAGGGCTTGCCCAAGGTCATCGAGCAGCTGCAAGTGGAGGAGTGGGGAATCAAACCCGGTACTCCCAGATTAGAGTCTGCGCACTCAACCACTACACCAAACTGCATTAAGAATGCAGGCTGGCCACAATTGGTCTATGCTGTAGATATCAGTCATTCTTCACAGGATTTGGGAAAGGAAATGTTTTTGCCAGTTCTGTAGATGTCGCAAAGTTAGACCGGCAGATTACCTGAAATAGCGCATTTCACATAGGAAGGAAACCACTAAAAAAGCCCTCCTTTGTGTAACTACTTTCTGATCCGTTGGGTGTTCAAAGAACAGTCTCATCAGAATCATCTATAGGAAAGTTTTACCCTTGTATAGATTCTTTGAGGAATGTGGAAATTGGACCCGCACCATGCCAGACGCTGTGCATTTATGAGGTTCCTCCCTTGTGTCGATTGCTTCTTGCTTAAGAAAACAGGAACTGATCTCTAATCTTCTTCAGCTGGAAGAGCCCATCCTTGCTTTCTTCCTTCTGGGATCTATCTGAGAGCTTCAAACATGGCTAAAGATCCTTCCATAGTCTGAGCATTTATAACATTTCTTCCTGACTAGGGTCAGATTCCTGTGCAAATTAAAGCCTTTTACAAGAGTTTATATTGTTTCAGTGCTTTATGTGGTCTGTGGTTATCTTTTAGTAGTGAAATAAGAGAAGTACTCTTTTCATGGACTAAGGTTTCATGGTTTCTCCTTGTGTAGGTTCTTAGAGGTTTTCGAAAAACGCTACTCCAGCAAAATCTCTTTCCACACTCTGAGCATTCGAAAAGTTTATCGCCCATATGGGTTCCTTGAAGCTGTTGAACTGTACCACTGTGACTGAATCTCTTCCCACACTCTGAGCATTCAAAAGGTTTCTCCTCAGTGTGGGTTTTTCGGTGCTGTTGAAGATGGCCGCTCTGACTGAATCTCTTCCCACACTCTGAGCATTCAAAAGGTTTCTCCCCTGTGTGGGTTCTTCGATGCTCTTGAAGAGTGCCACTCCGACCAAATCTCTTTCCACACTCTGAGCATTCAAAAGGTTTCTCCCCTCTGTGGGTTCTTTGATGACACTGAAGATTGCCACGCTGACTGAATCTCTTTCCACACTCTGAACATTCAAAAGGTTTTTCCCCTCTGTGGATTCTTCGATGCAACTGAAGACTGCCATGATGACTAAATCTCTTTCCACACTCTGAACATTCAAAAGGTTTCTCCCCAGTGTGGATTCTTTGATGCGCTTGAAGAGTGCCACTGAGACTGAATCTCTTTCCGCACTCTGAGCATTCAAAAGGTTTCTCCCCTGTGTGGGTTCTTTGATGCTCTTGAAGAGTGCCACTCCGACTAAATCTCTTTCCACACTCTGAACATTCAAAAGGCTTCTCCCCTGTGTGGGTTCTTTGATGCTCTTGAAGATGGCTCCTCCGACTGAATCTCTTTCTACAGTCTGAACATTCAAAAGGTTTTTCCCCTGAGTGGGTTCTCTGATGTTGTTGAAGATAGCTACTCAGACGGAATCTCTTTCCACACTCTGAACATTCAAAAGGTTTTTCCCCTGTGTGGGTTCTTTTATGCTGTTGCAGAGTGCCACTTTGACGAAATCTCTTTCCGCACTCTGAGCATTCAAAAGGTTTCTCCCCTGTGTGGGTTCTTTTATGCTGTTGCAGAGTGCCACTTTGACGAAATCTCTTTCCGCACTCTGAGCATTCAAAGGGTTTTTCCCCTGGGTGGGTTCCTTGATGCAGTTGCAGATAGCCACTTTGACTGAGTTTCTTTCCATACTCTGGACATTCAAAAGATCTCTCTCCTCTTTGTATTCTTTGGTTCAAAAGAAGCTGTGCTCTATATGTAATGTACTTTCCACACTGAAGGGATTTACTTTTCTTCATTATATTGTACTTTGGAAAATGTACATTAAGCTTTCTTCCATCTCCCTTCTCAACCATACGGCTGTCTTCCTTTCTCTTCGGACTGCCTCGATTCCTGACATTTCCTTTCACGTCTTCCTTATTAACTTTATCTTGCAGTTGCAGAAGAGGTTCCTCACCCTCATTCCTCTGATTGTCCTCTGCTGGAATAAAGAGAGAGATAACCTTAGTACCTGGGAGGCCAGGTAAGGTCCAAAGGCATCTATGAGACTGCAGTAGGAAAGGATTGACAACCCTTTGGCTTCGTCCAACTTGGCTAAACTTAACTAATCCCCAACCTTTCCCTAGAATATCCAGGATTTAAGGATACCACAGCCCTTTCAATAGCCACAGCTGAGCTCTTTCCCAGAAGTAGTTTCCCTGAAACTCCAGATCCCAGGACCCAGAAGGCTTCCCTCCCGCCTTGCTCATTGGGCTTTATCACTCTTCCAAAGTAAAAGTTGCTTAGAAGTGAAGCAGTTCTAGTAGTTAAATCACTCAGCTCTAAAACACGCAGAGAATCCGTTTTTCTCACGGATATTTTCACTCAATCACTCCTTTTGTCTTTAGTTTTTTCTTTGTAAATAATATTTTTCAAATTATGGTATAATTCCAACGTGTTAATGTACACCAGCATCACCTATTGTATCGGATAGTAGAATGTAATTGATCAACTTTCACATTAAGGTTTTGTAACTAAGAACAAAAACAAAAAGTTATTGTTCATGTTATGCTTCCTGTTACAGTTATCGGACTCTTGGCTAGTCCTTGCCTGTTCCCTTGACGTACCTGTGAAGGATACCCACAATCAGCCAGCTCACTTGGGAAGGAAATCCTCTCCTGAGATCCTCTTGAGGAACTATCCAGCCTTTCTTTGGACACAAAGGTAAGACAAAATACAACCGTGAAATATATAATGAAAACTATTACTTATTTATACTTTAGAAATTTCAAAGCCATTTCTCATTAAAGTTTCAGCACAAGCGACACTCCCAATGTTGTGTATTTGATAAAGTGTATATGTGATAAATATTACGTTGGCAGTACAAGAAGACTGATTAAAGCTAGAATTTTGGCATCTACGGCACGCACATGTGCATTGATAACCTTTAACACTCAATTTTTCTGAGCAACAGCATAAGGAAGATGACTTTAAATTTACAGTCTTATTTGTAGCAAAGCAAGGTCCTAATGTTTATAAAATATTGCTGCAGCCAAGAGGAAACATATTTTTGAATTTGACACATTGGCCCCAAGGGGCTTAAATAGTGAATTTGATTTAAGCTGTTTTCTGTAAGGGGCATTCCAGGCTTCTATGTTACCAAGGTTGGCCGTAAATTTTGCAGAATCATGTAATCCTATCCGTCTGGCCACCTGATACTAATTAACTCTACAGAGAGAAAAGGTTAGTCAGATTTCCACATTGACAAAATTCCTAACCTCCAAGAAATTGGAAGCCATCCCAACTCCACAGCTGTGAGCATTTAGTCGGAGAAAACTTCTGGGAAACAATCCAATTCTAAATTGTAAGTACCAGGTTATAGAGGGATGTGAAACAGAAACAAAAAGATTTTTAAATATGTAACCTTAAGCTTGACTTTTGTAAATGTCTCTAGGCTTTAAATTTTTTGGGGGTCAATGTATATTTCAGTTCAGAAGGCTAGGAGGAAATAGGAACATGCCCCGAAACGCATCCTAGCCTGAGTGACACATGGGTCACCAAGCATATCCTTACAATGGACTTCATAGCCAAGGACATTGGGAACTCAAGTGTTTGCAAAGTGTAGGAGCTATTTCTTGTTTAAATTTGCAGCCAAATTCCTTATGAGAATTGTGTAACCTTTTGAGTTTTCTCATGTACAGGCTTTAAAGAAAAATTCAAAAGTATAAGCAAGTAATAGTTTTTGTTATATATTTCACAGTTGTATTTCGTCTTGTCTTAGCAACTCTTCCCGTGAACTCCTTTTGTAGCTAATCTTTATTTGGATGCAAGGCTGTTGTCTGTCTCCACTATAGTCTCTCTTATAATTCTGGCTTCTTTCACACTCTCTCTCTCTCTCACACACACACACAGAAGAAGAGAAGAAGAAAAGAAGAGATTGGATTTATACCCTGCCCTTCACTACCCAAAGGTGTCTCAGAGCGGCTTTCCCTTCCCCTCCCCACGACAGACACCCTGTGAGGTAGGTGGGGCTGACAGACCTCTTGACAGAAACTGCTCTTTTTCAAGGACAGCCATGCCAGAATTATGGCTTGCCCAAGGTCATCCAGCCAGGTGCCAGTGGAGGAGTGGGGAATCAAACCCGGTTCTCCCAGATTAGAGTCCGCGCACTTGGGGGGGGGGGGGGGGGGGAGAGACAGAGATCTCATCCTTATATGGGGAAGGACAGAAATCCAAGCAAGTATAAAAATTCTTCTGGAAAGACAGAAACAATCCCCACCAGTATAAAAGGGAAGGATTATTTCCAGATCACAGTCAGAGCACATGTCTGTAATCCCATCCAGGGAAAAAGGTGGGTTGCAAAGGCTGGAAACAGAAAAATGAGGATCTGGACCCTTCCGGAGTCTTTCTGAGGGCCTCTCATCCCACCTTCGCTTCAGGCCAGGACACTTCCTCTGGCTTGGGTGATGATGGCCACAACACTGGCCTCAGTTGCCTCTGGGCAAGTATTTATTTATTTATTTCAGTTTCTATCCCGCCCTCCCTGCCGAGGTGGGCTCAGGGTGGCTTACGTAGAATTTCATATAATGTCATCGTTCCGTGCGCCTTGGTGTTTAGTCATGCCGGCCACATGACCACGAAAATGTCTTCGGACAGCGCTGGCTCTTCGACTTGGAAACGGAGATGAGCACGGCAACCCTAGAGTCGGACTCGACTGGCTTTCGAGCAAGGGAAACCTTTACCTTTACCATATAAAATACAATTAACCCTATCACAAACATATAACATAAAACAACGATCATTTAAAATACTCCTAAAAAATGATGGAACATGATCTGATAAAAACGAAGAGCAAGAAACCTTTATAGAGCACCTTAGGTGGCTGTATGTTCAGATAATACTCACGCCGGCTCAGTCCCCTCAGCTTATTATACAGCGGGCACAGGCTAGAGATAAAGATGGTAGACAGCACACAGGGACACTCCTCGGTGTGTCATGCGGCTCCACCATCGAAAGCCTGGCGGAAGAGCGCCATCTTGCAGGCCCTGCAGAACTGTGAGAGGTCCCGCAGGGCCCTGATCTCTTCTGGGAGCTCATCCCACCAGAATGGAGCTGCCACCGAGAAGGCCCTGGCGCTGGTCATCGCCAGCCTGGGAGGGCCAACCGATTTTGCACCCCTGAACGCAGCGCTCTCCAGGGAACACGTGGGGGAAAGGCAGGTATGCCGGACCCTGACCCTATAGGGCTTTAAAGGTTAAAACCAGCACCTTGAAACGAATCCGGTCTATCGGCAACCAGTGCAATGCCTTCAGTACAAGCTGGATGTGCTCCCGCATAGGGAGACCCATCGACAGTCTGGCTGCCAACGTTCTGCACCAGCGGCAGCTTCTGGATTTGAGACAAGGGCAGCCCTATGTAGAAGGCGTTACAGTAGTCCAATCTTGAGGTTACCGTCGCATGGATCACTGTGGCCAAGTCGTTGGGTTCAAGGAAGGAAACCGACTGCCTGATCAGCCGAAGATAGTAAAAGGCTGACTTGGAAGTGGCTGCTACCTGGGCCTCCATTGTCAGGGAGGCATCCAAGAGCACTCCCAAGCTCCTAACCTCCGGTGATGGCACCGGCGGAGCCCCATCAAAGGTCGGGAGTGGGATCCCTACCCTCGGGCCACTCCCAACTCAGGCACAGGACCTCCATCTTCATCTGATTCCGTTTCAGTCAGCTCAGTCTAAGCCAACCAGCCACAGCTTGCAACGCACGGTCCAGATCTTCCAGTGTAGAGTCTGACTGGCCGTCCAACAACAGATAGAGTTGGGTGTCATCCGCATACTGGGGACACCCAAGCCCATGCCTCCAGGCAGTCTGGGCAAGGGGGTGCATACAGATGTTGAATAACATTGGGGAAAGTACCGCTCCCTGGAGCACTCCCAGGGGTCATTTCCTGCAGGAGCGCACAGGAGCAGAGCTCCGGCAGTAAAGAGCCCAGGGAGTGGGCACATGCAACAAGCCCCACCCCTTGCTCCCAGCAGCCCTCATTCAGAGCAAGAAGCGGCCAGGTAAGCTGCAGAGCCCCCCCCCCAGCCCCCCAGTCCAAAACAGTCCAGTGGCACCTTTAAGACCAAGTTTTATTCAGGTACAAGCTCTCCCTCCTCTGCGAGGACAGAACTGTGTGTGTCCCCCCCAATATCTAGCAATCCAAAACAGCCCAGTCGAACCTTTAAGACCACGTTTTATTCAGGTACAAGCTCTCTCTCCTCTGCAAGGACAGATCTGGACGTTCCCCCCCGCATAGCTAGCAATCCAAAACAGTCCAGTGGAGCCTGAGCGGTGGTAGTTGCCTTCTGACACACTTCCAGTGATATCATGGGGTGTAGCATATGCAAATAAGTTATGGCTAATGAGGTATGCTAATGAGCTCCTGCACCTCTTTTTCTACGAAATGACCCCTGAGCATTCCACAAGTCAGTGGATGCCTCTGGGACAGCTGTTCCCCTAATGCCACCCTTTGCCCCCGACCCTGGAGGAAGGATACGAGTCACCATAAGGCAAGTAGCCGGACAGGCCTCAAAACGGTGTACTGCCGTTCCATATTATGATGCGTGCCTCCTCACAAGGGCAGCCAATTGCACCTTTGGCATCTCTGAAAGAACCTTACCCAGAGAGGCCACATTCCCGTAGTTCTCCAGCATGACTTCCCGGTAGAGAGCTCTTTGGTCCGGATCCAGCAGGGCCCACTCTGCATCGGTGAAATACACGGCCACCTCCTCAAAGGGAAACGGACCCTGAAAGAAAAAGCAGATTCCCTCATCAGAGATCACGCCAGGCAGAGACAGCACCCTGGAAGGGAGTAGTCTGGGAGGGTACAGGATGTATGACTTGGCATGGGGTGAAGGGAGTGGCGTTCAGAGCCCCTCTCCCCCGGACACCTTCTAGAAACTGCAGGAGAAAAGGCCCCCTCTGAGAAAGGAGGGGAGACTGTGAGCCAGAGGTGCTGCATTACTATAGGCGGGGCTGGGGTTTTAGCAAAAAGGCAGAGCAGGAATGCATTAGCATCACAGGCCACACCCAACAGCAGAAACTCATTAGCATGTTAGGCCACATCCCTGACGGCGCAACTCATTAGCACATTAGGCCACACCCCCATACATTCCCTTGGCTTGCTTGGGCGTCCCACAGCTGCGGGGCGCCCGGGAAAGCCGGCCCTTGAATAGGTCGGGGAAGGTCGCTCTCCCGGCCTTCCCTCTGTAGCCAGGCACGGAGAGGTTTGGGCTGTAGTGGGCGTGGCCAACTCTGAAGCCAGCTGGAACTCCGTTCCTGTGTGTTCCTGCCCAAAAATAGCCCTGACTATAGGGTAGCCCCAACAACATGGGAGCCCCGCTCCTGACCTGAACCAGAGAACCACAAAAGTCAGGCCAAAAGAAGGCACTCCTGGCCTGAAACACAGATAGCCACAGCTCTGGGAGGAGGGTCTCCGTTCTCAGGTTTTCATACAAGGCAGCCTTCAGAGCAATACTACCTCTAAGCTGTGGAGTCTTGTGAGCAAAAATTCTACTTCGTGAGCGACTACCGGAATTAAAGTTGTGAGCGAGTGATTTGGCTACAGCATAAGTTAGTTTGCTCTTGGAGCCACATCCTTCCTGAGCTAAGACAACAATGTGTGAGCTGGAGGCTAAAAAACTGCGAGCTGGCTCACACTAACTCAGCTTAGAGGGAACACCGCTTCAGAGCAAACCTCCAGCCTTCTCCCCACACCCAGCGATGACACAACAGCAAGTTCCATCAAGTGTCTGCATTTCTAAAGCTATTCAGTTGCCACCTGGTAGATAGCCCTTCTGTCTCCAACTCTGCACATACCGTATATACTCGAGTATAAGCCGACTTTTTCAGCACATTTTTTGTGCTGAAAAAGCACCCCCTCGGCTTATACTCGAGTGAGAAAAAAAATGACCCCAGAAAATGCCGCCGCTCCGCAGCCAGATATCAGCCTGTAGTCACTGCAGCCCGCCTGCCTAAACTGATCTAGTCACTGCAGCCCGCCCGCCTAAACTGGTTGCTAGATCGCCTCCCGACTGGCGTCTAGCAACCAGACGTAAGAGAGAGGAGAGCGGAGACTGACGTGCCAATAATAACAGCGGAGTTAAAAGACCTCCTCCGCTCAGCAGAACACTAGAAGCCGCCGCTGCCCGCCCCGCCTCCACTGGTTGCTAGATCGCCTGCTGATTGGCGTCTAGCAACCAGTGACGTCAGAGAGAGGAGACCGAGGCGGACGTCCTCCTCCGCGCCTTTTCCGTGCCATACTGGGCAAGAACTTGCCCACATCTGTGTGCTAGTTCGTGGGGTGCATCGCATACAGTTTCTACTGTAAATTGACCTCTTTTAAGAACTATAACTAGGCTTATACTCGAGTCAATACTTTTTCCCAGGTTTTTGTGGTAAAATTAGGAGTCTCGGCTTATACTCGGGTCGGCTTATACTCGAGTATATAACGGTAGTCCTTTTTGCGACTCCTGTACCTTTGTGATAAGAACATAAGAACATAAGAGACGCCAATGTTGGATCAGGCCAAAGGCCCATCCAGTCCAACACTCTGTGTCACACAGTGGCCAGAAAATACTAGTGCCATCAGGAGGTCCAGCAGTGGGGCCAGGACATTAGAAGCCCTCCCACTGTTGACCCCGCCCAAGCACCAAGAAGACAGAGCACCACTTGCCCCAGAGCCCCTATCTATACCTTGTGGCTAATAGCCACCGATGGACCTCTGCTCCATATGCTTATCTAATTCCCTTTTGAAGCCGTCCATGCCGGCCCTTGAATAGGTGATAAATCCTTTGTCTCATCCCCATCCCTCAGGATACCGAGATAACTAATCAAACATTCAAATTATTAACAAATCCTTCCTGGACTCTGTCAGGGACCCATCTCCCACCTTTTGTGTAAATCTGGGAACCATGAGTAGACATCAAGACCCATTTAACTAGCCATCCAGCACCCAGCTATTGTGCAGCCAGACTCTGCCCCTCCGGAAGCTCATTGGTCACACCTGAATTATGCTCCGCCTTCTACTACACCTCCATGGACTCCTTATTGGTCTGGAAAATCTATTGTTCTCACCTGAGACCAGCCCCTAAGACCTCCCGTTGGTCTGCATTGTTTTCCAAAGCCTATAACTGTCAGAGCATATGGCCTCAGATTTTGTGTGTCTGCCCCAATGCCAACTGGCAGTTCACCCCTATACCTTTGGTTTGGGCCATAATCTCATCTCCATGGACCCCTGCATGTCTGGACAGGTTGTATCACCCCATAACTGACCACTTTCAATCACCTCTGCTTTCTCAGGTTGCTCTTTTTAAATGCTTAGTATGCTTGTAACTAGAAATTCTTCAATAAAAACTATTTAATTTCCTCTTCAAATCTGGAGTCTTTCTACTGGGCCGGATCTTGGTATACAAGTGGTGTCTGATTCCTGTACCCCTCTGGCCTATCCTGCCGCATAGCTAATAAGACAGGCCATTGGCAGTAACAGGACCCAGGTTGTCCCCTGCTCAAATCCCCTACCTGGACTGAAGCTGCAGCAGCCATTTCCACATCTCTGAAAATACAATGGGTCAACAGCAACTCTCCATTGCCTGTTAGTGAGAAAAAGGAGAAAGGAAGGAAGGTGGTTTCTCTTGACTTCCTATTCCATTGGCTTGTTTGTTCCTGGCTTCACCTTAACCCTTTCCATAGGTGTGAAACCTCACCCTGTATACAGTCAAAAATTGTTTAACACTTTTAACTAAATTCTGGGAGCGGCAGAAGAGAAGCACTGTGTACCCATGAAACCCGGGGTTATAAATGCTGCCAAAATATTTCAGACTTCTGTGAGACTCTGTCATGACTCAGGTGTGTGGGGGGGTCACCTGACGCTGCCACCACTTCGGATTTAGGATCCCTTGAGAAGGCCCAGAACACCTTCCCAAAACCTTCAGACCTCCCTTTAGGCTGAATAATAGGCGTGAGGACCAGGCAGAGTGAACAATGAAAATTGTTTATTTTATAGGAGGTCAAACAACAAGGTGCAGAATAATAACAGTAAGTGGGTGAAAAGAAAAGACATCAAATGCCCTAAGGCGTCTAAATATATACTGTCCCTAGCTCACTATCTCAAGTGGCCTTAGACTACTCACCCTTCCCTCAGGATGAGGGTCTCTCCCCTGAAGCAGACTTCCTTCTGGCTCTGCCCTCTGGGAAGAAAGAACAGCTTTCCCTCTTCCACCAGTCTCTTATTCCAAGCCCTCCTCTTTTCCTATTGGTCAATTTTGGCTCCAAAATGTCCCAAGGCCTTCTGGAATTTGTAGGCCTAGCCTCCTCCCACTGCTACACAGGCTTCCCTGGGCCGGCCAGGCCGTGCTTGCACAGCCCAGATCATGACAGACTCGAAATACATCTCGTGAACTCTGGAGCTCCAAAGGTTACAGCATCCCTGCTGAATCAGACCAAAAGCCCAGGAATCCGATTCTTCTGCTGTCCGGGCACACGTGTCTGGACTGGCGGGGAGGCAAGAGGGCGTAGAAATGACATCACATGACACATCACCATCACATTCACCCCCAAAACCCAGATGTGAGTTGAGCATGTCTGGAGACTGTCGGGTAGTATCAGTGACTTTTTAGAGCACCTTTTTACATGCCAATGTCACAACTGGTTTTTACAAGCAGCCAAAAAAGGGGGGGGGGGAAGCCGGTGTATAGTGCAAGAGACAAAAAAGAACACCACTGGCAAAAAATAATGCACAAGCAAGTAAGCAAGTATATAATGATCAAATAAGCATAACAGCAAGTATAATATAAATCAAATAAACATAACAAGTATGATATAAATCAATTGGCCAAAGTGCAATAATAAATCATAATAGAAACAAGTCACAGTCTTTCCATGTGTCTACTCCAGCATAGAAGCAATATCAAAGTCCAAATTGGAGTGCAAGTCATCAAATTTTCTGAGCCATAAAAAGCCGACGCGTAATCCGGATGCCTGATGCCACATTTCGAATAATTCTTATTCAGGCATGGCTGTAATGGGACCCAGTCTCAAAAGCTGGCATATACTAAGCCAGAATGGTCAGTCAAGGAGGATTAAGGGCGGCATCAGGCATCCGGATTACGCGTCGGCTTTTTATGGCTCAGAAAATTTGAAGACTTGCACTCCAATTTGCACAACTCGTTTTTAGCCAGACACAGAATCAACGTGACATCACATCTGTAAAAAGCCCCTCCTCAAAACTCCTGGAGAGTGCCGGGCCACAGCCAGCCAGCCCTACTCCAGCGTCCTGTTTCCCACAGCAGCCGAACAGATGCCCCTATAACCACAGGCAAAGAAGCCTAATTTTCCCATTATCATTGGGGCCAAGTGTCAGCTATGCTGCCATAAGGGTTGGGGGTGGGGTGCTAGCTTGCCAGGACCGCTTCATTCCTTTTCAGCTTCTCTAATGCTTGCTTATCTATGGCCTTGCAGGTGGTGTGTTGTGTCTGGGATTCTAGGGAACCGTGGGAGCGCTTTCGGTTCCCAGCTTCGGCTCTAACGGCCTGGAGCTCCTTCTCCAGCGCGCGGGAATGTGGCTAATTGGCCTAAGGAAGGGGTGTGTGTGCATACGAATACTCTCTATCCCATTATGCTTGTAGGGGCGACGCCATTCTTAACAGTGCCTTTGTTAATGCCATCTATAGCTCTTCAATAAAGTATAACCTTTCCATGAAGCGTGTACTCGGTTGCTGGCTGCGGAACCTGACACCAAGAAACTGGTTTCCAGAGCTCTGCAACGAATCTGCGGCATAGCTGCAGGTGCCTCCCCTCAAAAAAACTCCCAAGTTTCAAAAAGATTGGACCAGGGGATCCAATTCTATGAGATCCAGAAAAATGTGCTCCCATCTTCCATTGTTTCTTAGGAAGCTTGGTTTGTGAGCTGAGCAGAAAGCTTCTGAGCAGGCCTCTGAAATGTTGTGCACCAGCACCCCCTAGCGCAGCTTAGAGGGAACTCTGCTCTCTACCCATCAAATTCACTGGGTGCCCCAATCCTAAATAGGCACAATGAGTTCTTACCACAGGAGAGGGGACCTTGGGCACGCTCCATGGCCTGCGCCCCCTGCCCTTGCTCCAAGGAAGCTCCTTCCACCTCAGGGATTGTAGTTTCCATCTTCAGGGATGGTCCCCACATCTGAAAAAAGCAGCGAGGGAGAGGGGTGAGAGATGGAATGGAAAAGAGGCCAAGGAATGGACCCGGCCCCACTCCCAGACTCTGCACCCTTCCACCAGCAGACCTGCTGAGTTATCTGGAGGGAGCAGAAATTCTCTAGTAGAAGAGGGTGCCAATGGAGGCTGCAAAATCTCCTATTTGGATGATTAACACTTGGACAAATATCTCTCGGGGGGGGGAGGCAGGAGGAGGAGGAGAAGGTGATTGGATTTATACCCCGCCCTTCACTCTCAGAGCGGCTTACAAACTCCGCTTCCTTCCCCTCCCCATAACAGACACCCTGGGAGGTGGGTGGGGCTGAGAGAGCTCTGACAGAAACTGCTCTTGTTCAAGGACAGCTCTTATCAGAACTACGGCTTGGCCAAGGTCACCCAGCCAGGTGCAAGTGGAGGAGTGGGGAATCAAACCCGGTTCTCCCAGATTAGAGTCCGCGCACTTAACCACTACACCAAACTGGCCGAGGAGGGCAACACTGGAGGGCCCAGAGAAGGATGGCGAAAAAGAGAC